CATTTAAAATAAGCAACAGTCTTCACTATGGTCGAGTTGATAGATTGTTACTTACGAGTATACGGTTCAATGTCTGCAAAACATCATTAACACAAAATATAAAAATGGAATGAAATTATAGTAATTTGCCATAAGCTTTTTATGATTTGAATTCCCAAGGAAACTTACTGAGCAAATGTCTAAAGCAATTAATATCTGATAAAGAGTAGCCATGTTCTATTCCACGTAGAGAGCTGGGTATACATAAGGTCTCGTCCCACTGGTAAATTCAATGTAAAAGGATAACAACGTGGATCGTCAAATCTAGAGAGGAAAAAATAAAATTTATATCAGAAAGCACCAAGAGCAACATGTGAAAAGCAATCTAAACCAAATTTGAACCTTATTACAAATATTACAGAGACTAAAAAAGTGACCATTTTAACGACCATAAAATATAGATATGTGTTTAAATGACCTTGCACCTGCTCATTGATTCCCAAGGTCAGCATTCGTTTTTGACTTCGTTTCTTAAAAGAGAGCTTCGTCCATAACTAGACTCTGCTGCGTGTAGGTTGTAACAAACATAATATCCCCGAATGAATGTTATTAAGTAATTGCATCATTGCAATTAATAAAAACCCACGAGGACTTCATTAATAAAAACTCACGAGGACTACATCCGTCACATTATTAGATAATGGTTTCGTTGCTTGGTGTGGTTATGGTTAGCTTTGTTGTAAAATACATATGTAGAGTGACTTTTGTTATTTTAAGGTCTATTGTGGGATTGAACATCTCATAATGGAATAAAAAATAAATACATTATGCTGAGTGATTTGAATTATCATAAGGTCTATGGTGGGATTGATCATAACGTAAGGGAATAAAATAAAATAGACATCAAGGCAAAGTGGGATGATTCATAAAAAGTGAAAGGGACTAGGTCAACATGTCATTGTTTTGTCGGAAGATAGAAGGTTAAGACCGCCCTCCAACAATTTCGTGACGCCATTTTGATACAGGAACGACGAACCAAGGACGTCTTTGGACGAACCAATGAAGATCTGTCCCATTGATGTGATGCATTGTGGGAGATAATAATGTCGAGGACCATGTGTCACTAATGGTTTACTGTCCATATATCAACTTGACACCAGGCTTGACACAACCCCTTTAAATAAAGCACCGGATTAATTTGCAAGCGCATGCAAAAAGTTGTTAATCGTCTTTTTTTTCAGTTTATTTATTTCAATTTCCTTGATATAGATATACAAAAGTATGCCTTTGTTAACTTAATAACATTATCGGCATAGTTAATCGTCATTCAAAATTTATAGGAAACAAACCTAGACAGAAACCAATTCAATCAAAAGTTGAGAGAAATTGGCAACTGAAACATCAGATATCACCTGAAAGGTCATCTTATATGTTTTTAGGAAGCACCAGGAGTCCAATTTACCTGATTGTACTTATAATTCCAGATGTATTCCTGTTTTCAATTAACTCACGTGTTTTCGTCTCGATATATTCGGCGAATCCCCTTTGATCTGTTGATCTATCTACCTGTATTTCTACTTCAAATAATTAGCTGGACTTTCAATATGTTTTCAAGCAACACAGCAACCATGAAATAACATTTAACAGTCATGTTATCGAAAGATGAAAGTCAGGATTTCCTAGATGAACAACTCTGGTAGACAGGATTCATCGAACTGTGTCTGTGTTGAATGTCAACCAAGCCTCCAAGGCCACCCGTCAAGATCGGTCCTTCACTACTTTCATAGCAGCTCATGTAATGCAATGGATTACTCTTGGGCCAAGGATGCCCAAGTCAGCTACTCTTGTCTTGGATCCATGTCACGCAATAAGCTTTGTTATGTGGAAAAGAGATGGCAAAATGGAACTTCCGTGTTACCGCATCTTCACTATGTGTTTGCTGTCTTGATTTTGTGTTCGGTATGTAGCGACTCGCTCCATTGTCTTTGATATTTATGGGTGTTTTGGATACTATGGATATTACATCAAATATGACCCAAAACGATTTGATGAAATGGGAAATTTCCGACATGGCTAAAAATGTTTACATAAAACTGTTCACTCCTATATTCTATTAAAAGAATTACATTGTCAGCTAATATATTTTCTTATTTCCTTTTTGAATGAGCTGGCTTACCCTGCGCGCAGAGTCTAATTATAAACTGCCGAAGACAAAGACGAAGCTCTCTTTCAGTAGAGCTGACTAATTTTGTTTTGTTAAAATAGTTCATGATCATCCTTGTGATTGCTGTTCTACTATCAGAATCTGCTTATTCTCATATGCATATTTTGATAAATATTTGTCAATAGGAGAAATTAGGGTGGTTCATGTTATAGTGTTTTAGCTTTTTAATATTTCCTTTCCAACTGTTTTTAATTACTTTTTGGTCTTGATGACTTGACTATTTACCCAAGTTGTACTCTTTTATGTACTAACTGTTACGTTCCATATTCCCATAAAACCCCTTTAGGAATCCCATCTTAATGATAAATCTGAAAAACCTATTTGATTATGTATTGGTATAGATCACTAATTGTTGCATTCTAGATGTAGAACTTTACCTAGATTAATGAACGGAAAAATTTTCATCATATAAAAATGAAGTAGATCTATTTTCAAAAGAACAAAAAATTTTGTACAAATAATATTCATGGTGTACGATGATGGGATATGATTAGGAGCGATACTAATCAAATTATAAATATGATGATTTCCTTGTTCTGCTTTCATCTTATAATTGCTCTGAACGGTACGGTATGCAGGAGTTATGTATTAGTAGCATATTCCCATGACAAGAGGGAGCTCCATTCAATTCTTGGTCCTAGGATATTCCAATGCTTTCACAGCTGATATAGCAGTCTCCATTCCATCATGATGAATGTCATCTCATTTCTTCTCAGCCCTGAGATGTTTCAGGTGAAACAGAAAGATGATATGAGTATCAGAATATCTCCATTTCAATAAATAAACTTTAATTGGTACTCTGAGAGCACATATGGCAATAGTTGGAAACGATCACATAATATACTAACAATATAATAACAAAACCATGATATTATCTCAATTTGGATTCGAGAAGTAAACTTTATTTTTTCCTTTCTTACGTGCTGGCAACAACATTGGCCACAACATTAAGTATATATGTTGGAGGTTAAGCTACACGTTATAGGATAACTTGTACGTGAACATGTAGAGCTATGGTCAGCTTATTATTAGTTGTCCTCTTCGCAATATCGCCTGCCCAATTGAATATACAGGTATAGCAAAAATAGTTGTCATTAGAACCCGTGAAAAAAAGAACGCGGCAGTAAACCATGGGGGTCATAATGTTACACATTCACGTATAAGTTCTCTTAAAAACGTATATCTTAACCTCCCTAATATATCTACTTGCCAGTGGAATAGAATCACTTGAGTTTAGACCTCCTTGATACTTATCTCTTAGTAATTTCATTTTGGGAATCATTTTTGGGAATCAATTTATTAGATATTGGTTTGGGATTCGATATAGGGCTTATAAGATTATATAGTTTACATTCTAGAAAGCGATGGAACTGAATCTTTATAACTAGATTACAATTTAATGTAGCATATACATTAGGTTTTGGAACTTTGGATGATGGTGTGCTTGTTTCAGCTTGTGTTGATGACTTGGTGAGGGCCACAAAAATCACTAAGATAGCTGATAATATGTTTCATCATCTGGAGTTTTCATACAGTAGATGCAATAATTATATCTTTATTTTCCCATTATTCATGGGTCATTTTCAACGTATTTACATATTAAATAAGTTGCATAAAATTGCACGCAAAAAGGAGTTTAGTTATATTACACCATATACACATTAATCTAGTTTGTACCGTACCCTAGAGAGCCTAGAGTGACTAAAAGTTGTAATTTTCATTTCATGTATGTTTTATCTAGTTTGTACTGTATTCTAGAAAGACTAAATGCTGTAATTTTCATTCCATTTATCTTCTTAACTGGTTTGTTCTGTACGCTAGAATGACTAAAAGTTGTAATTTTCATTTCATGTATGGCTTTATCAATTTTTTCTGGACTACTCTAGAATGACTAAAGTATCATTTCATGTATGTCTTTATCTAGTTTGTACCGTACGTATGAATGACTAGAAGTTGTACTATTCATTTCATTTTCAGAGAATATGCTGGACAGTAAAATGTAAAAATGTAGACTTTATTGATAGATCTACACAAGCTTTTTAAAGCGATAACAGTATTATATCATGTGTGTCGAAACTACCTTTCTGTTAACTGTGTGAAAAAATGTAAATATGTTTGTAAAACCACTCTGTTTAAATACAAGTAAATAAATAAATATTATTTCGTTTGTACCGTACCTCAAAATGACTAGAAGTTGTAATACTCATTTTATGTATCTCCTAATCTAGTTTGTACTGTACTCTAGAATGACCAAAACGCCGTAATTTTCATTTCCTTTATCTTCTTAACTGGTTTGTACTGTAGGCTAGAATGACTAAAAGTCGTAATTTAATGTTCATTTTATGTACCTTTTTATCTTGTTTGTACTGTATTCTAGAATGAGTAAAAGTCGTAATTTAATTTTAATTTCATGTATCTTTTTATCATGTTTGTACTGTACGCTATCGAATGACTAAATGCCGTAATTTTCATTTCATTTATCTTCTTAACTGGTTTGTACTGTAGGCTAGAATGACTAAAAGTCGTAATTTAATGTTCATCTTATGTATCTTTTTATCTTGTTTGTACTGTATTCTAGAATGACTAAAAGTTGTAATTTAATTTTCATTTAATGTATCTTTTTATCTTGTTAGTACTGTATTCTAGAATGAGTAAAAGTCGTAATTTAATTTTCATTTCATGTATCTTTTTATCTTGTTTGTATTCTAGAATGAGTAAAAGTCGTAATTTAATTTTCATTTCATGTATCTTTTAATCTTGGTTGTACTCTACGCTAGAATGACTAAAAGTCGTAATTCCCATTTCACGTATCTCTTTATCTAGTTTGTACTGTACCCAAAAATGAAATTTTCGTTTTCTTCAAGAGCTCTTGAGCAGAAGTCAATGATTAACTCAACGATTATTATATGATAATATACTTGATTTTGTGTAAGTATTTATGAATGGCATTTTAATTGGTCTGGGCCTCACGACAGTTTAGTTTCGTTTTGTAAATATATCAGCTTGTGTCAAAACAAATTTTAAACAATGAATCATTTGTATGGTTATTTGAAGATCACAAATTTTTCAGCATTTTTACCCAATATTTACTCAATCCACAATTTGATATTACGTTACGACTAGAATTTAAAATTGCTTCTCGTTCTTAGGTTTGGGCTAAACACGTAAAAAGATGTAGTGGTTATTGTACTAGTATTCAAATGTATCTACATTTCACGATTTACGTTTCTCATATCCATTGTATCATTTATAAAGTAAATTCCATTGCTAGTATCGAATTCGAGAAACGTACCACGGGACCCCTAATCAGCTAGATTGGGATTATTTGCAGATTATAAGTATAACGTCATTGTGTTTTGCGGTGCGGTTTGCTTTCAAAGTGTACGTAGTGAACAGTCTATTGTAAAGCTCCATATTTCGTTTGAAGGATTTATTATATGGTATGGGGATGGCATGGGGAATGGGATGGTATGGTACCATCCCATCCCCCATGTACTCTTGACATGGTACCATCCTGTCCCCCATGTATTCAGGTTATGGTACCATCCTGTCCCCAATGTTTTCAGGGTATGTAGCATCCTGTCCCCATGTATTTAAGGTATGGTACCATCCTGTCCCCCATGTATTCAGGTTATGGTACCATCCTGTCCCCAATGTTTTCAAGGTATGGTACCATCCTGTCCACCATGTACGCAGGGCATGGTACCATCCTGTCCCCAATGTATTCAGGCTATGGTACCATCCTGTCGCCTGTACCTCAGTTTGATGATGCACTTCTTGGAGGAACCCTTGTGCATGACTCCAACAAACAACTCACCCTTAGAGTTCGATTCTACCCGTATTATCTCAAACTTAATCGCATTTGGTGGGATCAAATCCTTCATGTAGACGCCAGTAGGGGAAAGAAGCTCCACCGTGTTTTTATTTTTGTTCACGGTGATTATGTTGTCTTTACTGTCGACATGAGCGTACATATTGTACCCCGTGTTGCAATCGGGAATGTACTCAAAGATCTTCCGGAAAGTGTCCTTGATCAATCTGATTCCAACAACACCGCCATTGTAAGACATAACGATGTCATTCTTACTGTTTACTTGCATTGTGGCGACTCCTTCCATTTTATCTCTTCCTGATGATCCACCTAAATCGTATAGATTCAAGATTCGACCCGTATCTGACAACCTAATAATTTTGCTATCATGAGCCAAAATAAAAATTTCGGAATGATGAACAATCACAAAATCTGTTGCATTCTGAATGGCATTGTATACACTTTTTAAAAGTGCCCCACTTTCCATGTTATAAAAGTCTAATCGGGAAGGTGACATGATGACATAAGCATCCTCCTTTGTCTTATTAGACGCACCTGTGATCACTGGAAACATGGTCGATTCTTTTTTATTAAAGTCTTCATCATAAATTACTGCATTCCCATCACAAATTGTAACAAAGTCATCATTTTGCAGGACAGCTATGTCTCGAAAATCCTCAACAAGCATACGCTTCTCACGTTTAACGTGATCATCCAGATGATTGTAAGCAGTAGTCAATTTGGAATCAGGAGGATTGGACCATACATTTCGCTTGTTGTGTATCTCGGGAATCATGCACACAATATCAGCTGGGTGGCCATGATTCTGGAGAATTTCTAATTGTTTGATACTACCATCGACTGTTTCCTTTTCTAGCTTCAGCTTAGCCAAATACGCCTCGGTGTCGTTTAGACATGCATTGGTAGATGCATCAGCCTCAATTTCCTTTTTGTCAAATTTGGCATCAACTTTATCATGTTCCTTCTTCCGATCTGCTGCAAGTTTGACTTTGGTAATCTTTGCTTTCTCTTCAATGTCCTTTTTAACAACGTGGGCTTCCTTGATACAAGTTTCATACTTGACTGATCTCTGTCTACCAAGATCAATAGCAAGTCTCAGGTTTGCCTTCGACGTATGTTCAATGTCTACCAATGAGTGGCCTTCGTGTTTAAGTTCAACACAATTTTGGCAGATGAGGGATTGATCTTTTTGACAGAAATATTTCAGCTTTTCTTTGTTGTGAATTTTACAGTATAAGATTCGCTGTGATGGGTTCAGCTTTTTCGCATTTTGGAACTCATTACACGTCAACTGACGCTTGTGAGGTTTGGTGAAATTTGACGAGTTGTGGTTGCAGGTACATCCACACACGTTGCACATCTCCCGACTGCATTCGACACAGTTTGACGCAACAAGGACATGCTCCCCAGGTTGCAGGCATATGCCATTTATAAGAGTATCTTTCGAAGATGCAGAATGATCATCAGCTGCATCCAATACAGATTTAGCAAAGAAGTTCACCCTCAGGCCTGCAGACCCTTGATCCGGTATAGGGGAAATTTCACTGCAGTTTGGGCAAGGAAATTCCTTCGTATCCTGGTGTTTATCCATTATATTCTGTATACATTTCCTGCAGTAACTGTGCATACATGGCAGTGATCTAGGATCATCTAGAACCTCCATACATATTGAACATGTCACTGAGTTTATTAAAGAATCACCCCTTTTGTTTAATTTCGCCATTGCCATTGTCTTATCTGGCCCAGGTTATTCAACCTGTTTCAAGTTCACGAATCAAGATTGTTTATCTTTGTGATCATGAAATGACGCATTAGTTTCATTTTGGTTTTTAATACTTAAAGTGACAACTAATCACTTTAAGAAGAATGTGAAGTGTGAATATAAGGTACAATCGTTTTGTAAGTTCAATTTTAAGATAATAGCTTATTATAAGCATGTTAAAGGCAAAGCAATTAAATTGAGATTCAACTTTTTATCTTATGACCATATTTTACATCATGACCATGTTATGCACACAGATACGTGTGACAAACACTTTTATGTCAAGATAAGAGAAGCATTGACAGTAGGCTCGTATAAAACAGTGGATATGACAATTGAGAATGACATATAACACAATATTAATCAAGTACAATACAAAAAATCATGCCAGGTTTACATGTATTAAATCATATTTATTTTTTATGTTTTGTAGTTATAAATTGTTGTTAATATGTACCTGGCATTAGTTGGTGTCATTTAATTATTTGTTTTCAATCATCTCCCATAATTATCAATGCTTTCGAGTTCAATGTATTATCAAAATCATGGCTTAAAATAAAAAGAAACTAAAACTCTGAAGTAGTATCGGGATTCGAACCGTTCAACGAGCAAGCATTTTGACAAAGGATATCTCGACTCTTACAGGGTGGTCCAAAAAAGATATACTAGTATGGATTGCTTCCTTATACATTTTAAATTAGCAACAGTCTTCACTATGGTCGAGTTGATAGATTGTTACTACACGGTTCAATGTCTGGGACCCATTTAATATCTGATAAAGGATGGCCATGTTCTATTCCACATAGAGACTTGAGTATACATAGGGTTTCGTCCCACTTGTGAATTCAATGTAAAAGGATGACAACGTGGATCGTCAAATCTAGAGGAAAAAATAAAATTCATACTAGAAAGCACCAAGGGCAACATGTGAAAAGCAATATAAACCAAGTTTGAACCATATTACAAATATTATAGAAACCATGAAGGTGGCCCTTTATTCTATTTAACGACAATACAGATATGTGTTTAAACAATACCTCATCACCTGATCATTGATTCCCGAAGGTCAGATTTAAAGAGAAGGCAGCATTCGTTTTTGTACCCTGCGCGCAGAATACTAGAATACGAAGCTCTCTTTTAAGAAGTGAAATCGAACGAATGCAAAGTGTAACATCAGCTGCCTCTATCGACTGACAGAACAACCTTTTTTCTGGTCTTGGATTGTGATATTTGACGTTCTTGATTGTTGGGGGAAAGGGGGTATTAGACATTGTTTCTTTTCACGTTAGATCATGGTTTTGTGATACATGGGGTTTGTTTTTCTCGACTGGTATGCACTTAGAGTTTGCTTTTTCTTGCTAAGTTCCATTACAACGTTTGGTCCTTTAGCTTTGGCACTTGTGCTTAGATATTTTTGGGGTTGTCGAGTTGGCCGAGAGGACTTGAGCGCCGGCACGTTCGGGCTAGGCGATTGGGCGCCGTAACCACGAGGTTGCGAGTTCGAGACGCATCGAGCAGTATACTTTATTTTGTTCTATTTTACATGCTGGTTACAACTGACAATCTAAAGTATTAATTGGGAGGTTAATATAGACGTTACATGAGAGCTACATGAAAGGTATAACAAGAATATTTGTCATCGGGCCTTTTGAAAAATCAATTATGAATGGGACAGTAAACCAAGGGGATGATTATGTTACACGTTCACCCAAAAGTCCTCTAAAAACTCTATCTTAACCTCCCTTGTATCCACTTGCCATTGTAATAGAATCACTTGTAGACCTATTTGATACCTATCTTCTAGTAATTTCATTTTGGGAATCATTTTTGGGAATCAATTTATTAGATATTGGTTTGGGATTCGATATAGGGCTTTTAGGATTAAATAGTTTACATTCTAGGAGATTGAACTGAATCTTTATAACTAGATTACAATTTAATATAGCATATACAGGGTTTGAGAGATGACGTTTATTTCTTTATGACTAGAATACAGTTTATGTAGCATATGCATTGTGGTTATGACTAGATTACAATTTAATGCAGCATATACATTAGGTTTTGGATGATGGCGTTTGTTTCTTTATGACTAGAATACAGTTTATGTAGCATATCCATTGTGATAATGACTAGATTACAAATTAATATAACATATACATTAGGTTTTGGATGATGGCGTTTGTCTCTTTATGACTAAAATAAAGATTATGTAGCATATGCATTGTGGTTATGGCTACATTACAAATTAATATAGCATATACATTAGGGTTTGGATGATGGCGTTTGTTTCTTTATGACTAGAACACAGTTTATGTAGCATATGCATTGTGGTTATGACTAGATTACAAATTAATATAGCATATACATTAGGTTTTGGATGATGGCGTTTGTTTCTTTATGACTAGAATACAGTTTATGTAGCATATGCATTGTGGTTATGACTAGATTACAAATTAATATAGCATATACATTAGGTTTTGGATGATGGCGTTTGTTTCTTTATGACTAGAATACAGTTCATGTAGCATATGCATTGTGGTTATGACTAGATTACAAATTAATATAGCATATACATTAGGTTTTGGATGATGGCGTTTGTTTCTTTATGACTAGAATACAGTTTATGTAGCATATGCATTGTGGTTATGACTAGATTACAAATTAATATAGCATATACATTAGGTTTTGGATGATGGCGTTTGTTTCTTTATGACTAGAATACAGTTCATGTAGCATATGCATTGTGGTTATGACTAGATTACAATTCAATGCAGCATATACATTAGGTTTTGGATGATGGCGTTTGTTTCTTAATGACTAGAATATAGTTTATATTGCATATACATTGTGGTTATGACTAGATTACAAATTAATATAGCATATACATTAGGTTTTGGATGATGGCGTTTGTTTCTTTATGACTAGAATACAGTTTATGTAGCATATGCATTGTGGTTATGACTAGATTACAAATTAATATAGCATATACATTAGGTTTTGGATGATGGCGTTTGTTTCTTTATGACTAGAATATAGTTTATGTAGCATATGCATTGTGGTTATGACTAGATTACAGTTTAATGCAGCATATACATTAGGTTTTGGATTGTGGCGTTTGTTTCTTTATGACTAGAATACAATTTATGTAGCATATGCATTGTGGATATGACTATATTACAAATTAATATAGCACATACATTTGGTTTTGGATGATGGCGTTTGTTTCTTTATGACTAGAATACAATTTATGTACCATATACATTGGGGTTATGACTAGATTACAAATTAATATAGCATATACATTAGGTTTTGGATTGTGGCGTTTGTTTCTTTATGACTAGAATACAATTTATGTAGCATATGCATTGTGGATATGACTAGATTACAAATTAATATAACATATACATTAGGTTTTGGATTGTGGCGTTTGTTTCTTTATGACTAGAATACAGTTTATGTACCATATACATTGGGGTTATGACTAGATTACAAATTAATATAGCATATACATTAGGGTTTGGATTGTGGCGTTTGTTTCTTTATGACTAGAATACAATTTATGTAGCATATGCATTGTGGATATGACTAGATTACAAATTAATATAACATATACATTAGGTTTTGGATTGTGGCGTTTGTTTCTTTATGACTAGAATACAGTTTATGTACCATATACATTGGGGTTATGACTAGATTACAAATTAATATAGCATATACATTAGGTTTTGGATTGTGGCGTTTGTTTCTTTATGACTAGAATATAGTTTATATTGCATATACATTGTGGTTATGACTAGATTACAAATTAATATAGCATATACATTAGGTTTTGGATGATGGCGTTTGTTTCTTTATGACTAGAACACAGTTTATGTAGCATATGCATTGTGGTTATGACTAGATTACAATTTAATGCAGCATATACATTAGGGTTTGGATGATGGCGTTTGTTTCTTTATGACTAGAATACAGTTTATGTAGCATATGCATTGTGATAATGACTAGATTACAAATTAATATAACATATACATTAGGTTTTGGATGATGGCGTTTGTTTCTTTATGACTAGAATACAATTTATGTACCATATACATTGGGGTTATGACTAGATTACAGTTTAATGCAGCATATACATTAGGTTTTGGATTGTGGCGTTTGTTTCTTTATGACTAGAATACAGTTTATGTAGCATATGCATTGTGGTTATGACTAGATTACAAATTAATATAGCATATACATTAGGTTTTGGATTGTGGCGTTTGTTTCTTTATGACTAGAATACAGTTTATGTAGCATATGCATTGTGGTTATGACTAGATTACAAATTAATATAGCATATACATTAGGTTTTGTATGATGGCGTTTGTTTCTTTATGACTAGAATATAGTTTATATTGCATACATGTATACATTGTGGTTATGACTAGATTACAATTTAATGCAGCATATACATTAGGGTTTGGATGATGGCGTTTGTTTCTTTATGACTAAAATAAAGATTATGTAGCATATGCATTGTGGTTATGACTAGATTACAATTCAATGCAGCATATACATTAGGGTTTGGATGATGGCGTTTGTCTCTTTATGACTAAAATAAAGATTATGTAGCATATGCATTGTGGTTATGACTAGATTACAATTTAATGCAGCATATACATTAGGTTTTGGATGATGGCGTTTGCTTTTTTATGACTAGAACACAGTTTATGTAGCATATGCATTGTGGTTATGACTAGATTACAATTTAATGCAGCATATACATTAGGTTTTGGATGATGGCGTTTGCTTTTTTATGACTAGAACACAGTTTATGTACCATATGCATTGTGGTTATGACTAGATTACAATTTAATATAGCATATACATTAGGTTTTGGATGATGGCGTTTGTTTCTTTATGACTAGAATACAGTTTATGTAGCATATGCATTGTGGTTATGACTAGATTACAGTTTAATGCAGCATATACATTAAGGTTTTGGATGATGGCGTTTGCTTTTTTATGACTAGAACACAGTTTATGTAGCATATGCATTGTGGTTATGACTAGATTACAATTCAATGCAGCACATACATTAGGGTTTGGATGAAGGCGTTTGTTTCTTTATGACTAGAATATAGTTTATATTGCATATACATTGTGGTTATGACTAGATTACAATTTAATATAGCATATACATTAGGTTTTGGATGATGGCGTTTGTTTTTTATGACTAGAATAAAGATTATGTAGCATATGCATTGTGGTTATGATAAGATTACAATTCAATGCAGCATATACATTAGGGTTTGGATGATGGCGTTTTTTTATTTTGACTAGAATACAGTTTATGTAGCATATGCATTGTGGTTATGACTAGATTACAATTTAATGCAGCATATACATTAGGGTTTGGATGATGGCGTTTGTTTCTTTATGACTAGAATACAGTTTATGTAGCATATGCATTGTGGTTATGACTAGATTACAATTTAATGCAGCATATACATTAGGTTTTGGATGATGGCGTTTGTTTCTTTATGACTAGAATACAGTTTATTTAGCATATGCATTGTGGTTATGATTAGATTACAATTTAATGCAGCATATACATTAGGTTTTGGATGATGGCGTTTGTTTCTTTATGACTAGAATACAGTTTATGTAGCATATGCATTGTGATAATGACTAGATTACAATTTAAGTACATTAGTTTTTGGATGATGGCGTTTGCTTTTTTATGACTAGAACACAGTTTATGTAGCATATGCATTGTGGTTATGACTAGATTACAATTTAATGCAGCATATACATTAGGGTTTGGATGATGGCGTTTGTTTCTTTATGACTATAATACAATTTAATGTAGCATATACACTGGCGTTTGATTTTTGGCGTTTGTTTCAGCTTGTGTTGATGACTTAGGGAGAGCCAAAATAAATCATCGAGATAGCTGAACATCTGTTCGTGCTAGAATGACTAAAAGAATGACTAGAATGACTCTCGAGCAGAAGTCAATGATTAACTTGAAACGATTATTTTATGATATATACTTGTTTACGTGTAACTGTAATATCGGAATTTTTACCACATATTTACTCTGTCTACATTTGTAAATGACGTAACTTAATAATTAGAATTTAAAATTGCTTCTTGTTTTGGGGTTTTGGGCCAAAAAACGTAGCAATGTATCGGTTATTGTATTAAAATACATCTACATTTCAAGCTTTACGTTTCCCATATCAATTGTATCATATAATGAAGAAAATTCCATTGCCAGTATCGAATTTGAGAAACGTACCATGGGACCTCTAATCTGCCAATTGAGTTCATTTGCTGATTATACTACAATAAATACGTCATTGTATTTTGCGGTGCGGTTTGCCTTCAAAGTATACGTAGTGAACAGTCTATTTACCACTCCATATTTTACTTCAGGGATTTATAATAAACGTCCAGGTATAAAGGGTATGGTACCATCCTGCCCCCCCCCCCATGTATTCAGGCTATGGTACCAACCTGTCGCCAATGTTTTCAGGGTATGGTACCATCCTGTCGCCAATGTTTTCAAGGTATGGTACCATCCTGTCCACCATGTACGCAGGGCATGGTACCATCCTGTCCCCAATGTATTCAGGCTATGGTACCATCCTGTCGCCTGTACCTTAGTTTGAACATACACATATTGGAGGAGCCCTTGTGCATGACTCCAACAAACAATTCACCCTTAGAGTTGGATTCTACCTGTATTACCTCATACTTAATCGCATTTGGTGGGATCAAGTCCTTCATGTAGACACCATTTGGTGTTAGAAGCTCCACCGTGTTTTTAGCTTTTTGCGGTGCGGTTTGCCTTCAAAGTATACGTAGTGAACAGTCTATTTACCACTCCATATTTTACTTCAGGGATTTATAATAAACGTCCAGGTATAAAGGGTATGGTACCATCCTGCCCCCCCCCCCCATGTATTCAGGCTATGGTACCAACCTGTCGCCAATGTTTTCAGGGTATGGTACCATCCTGTCGCCAATGTTTTCAAGGTATGGTACCATCCTGTCCACCATGTACGCAGGGCATGGTACCATCCTGTCCCCAATGTATTCAGGCTATGGTACCATCCTGTCGCCTGTACCTTAGTTTGAACATACACATATTGGAGGAGCCCTTGTGCATGACTCCAACAAACAATTCACCCTTAGAGTTGGATTCTACCTGTATTACCTCATACTTAATCGCATTTGGTGGGATCAAGTCCTTCATGTAGACACCATTTGGTGTTAGAAGCTCCACCGTGTTTTTAGCTTTGTTCACTGTGATTATGTTGTCGTTATTGTCGACATGGGCGTACATATTGGACCCTGCATTGCGATTAGGAATGTACTCGAAGAACTTTCGGAAAGCGTCCTTGACCAGTCTGATTCCAGCAATACCGCCATTGTAAGACATAATGATGTCGTTTTTGCTGTTTACTTGCATCGTGGCCACTCCTTTCCTTTTTTCTCTTCCCGATGTTCCATCCAAATCGCAGAGATTCAAGATTCGCCCAGTTTCCGACAACCTGATGATTTTGCTATCATGAGCCAAAATAACGATTTCGGAATGTTGATCTATAACAAAATCTGTTGCATTTTGAATGGGATTGTATACACTTTTTAAAAGCGCCCCATTGTTCATGTTATAAAAGTCGAATCGGGAAGGTGACATAATGACGTAAGCATCTTCTTTTGTCTTATAAGATACACCTGTGATCACTGGAAAGGTGATTGATTCCTTTCTATTAAAATCTCCATCATAGATTGTTGCATATCCATCACCAATTTTAACAATGTCATCATTTTGCAAGATCGCAATGTCTAGAAAATCTTCAAAAAGCATACGCTTCTCACGTTTAACATGGTCATCCTTATGATTGTAATCAGTAGTCAATTTGGAATCAGGAGGAATGGACCATGCAATTCGCTTGTTATGAATCTCGGGAAGCATGCACACAATATCAGACGGGTGGCCATGATCCCGGAGGATTTCTAATTGTTTGATACTACCATCGACTGTTTCCTTTTCTAGCTTCAGCTTAGCCAAACACGCCTCGGTGTCCTTGAGAGATGCACTTGCAACTGCACGAGCCTCAGTTTCCTTTTTGTCAAATTTGGCATCAACTTTATCATGTTCCTTCTTCCGTTCTGCTGCAAGTTTGACTCTGGTAATTGTTTTCTTCTCTTCAATGTCGTTTTTGACAACATGGGCTTCCTTGATACAACTTTCATACTTAGCTGACTGCTGTCTGCCAAGATCAATGGCCGATCTCAAGTTAGCCTTCGAAGTATGTTCAATGTCTACCAATGGGTGACCTTCATGTTTCAGTTCGACACAAGTTTGGCAAATGAGGCAATGATCTTTTTTACAGAAATACTTCAGCTGTTCTTTACTGTGAATTTTACAGTACAAGATTCGCTGTGATGGATTCAGCTTTTTCGCATTTTGGGACTCAGTACAAGTCAACAGACGCTTTTGAGGTTTAGTGAAATTAAACGAGTTGTGGTTGCAGGTACATCCACAAACGTTGCACATCTCCCGACTGCATTCGACACAATTGGAGACAACAGGGACATGCTCCCCGGGTTGCAGGCATATGCCATTTATAAGAGTATCTTTCGAGGAGGTAGAATGATCCCCACCTGCATCCAAAACAGATTTAGCAAAAAAGTTCACCCTCAGGCCTGTAGCTCCTTGATCAGGTATAGGGGAAAGTTCACTGCAGTTTGGGCAAGGAAATTCCTTCGTATCCTGATATTTGTCCATTATATTCTGTATACATTTCCTGCAGTAACTGTGCATACATGGCAGCGATCTAGGATCATCTAGAACCTCCATACATATTGAACAAGTCACTGAGTTTATTAAAGAATCGCTCCTATTGTTTAATTTCGCCATTGCCATTTTCTTATTCGGCCCCCTTTTATTCATCCTGTTTCGAGTTCACGATCAAGGTTGTTCAGCGGCGATGTGATCATGTGATGACGCATTAGTTTCATTTTGTTTAATACTTAAAGTGAAAACTAACAATAAGAAGACTGTGAATGTATGACTTAATCTTTGCGTAAGTTGACTCAAGAAAATGCCTTATAACTGTAAGCGTGTTAAAGGTAATTGCAATTACCCAAATGCGAGTGGGTAGTTACCAGTTTCACCACCAGGTGGCTGATTCGGGTCAATTAACATGGCAGGTATATAAGAAAGTTCCCTTAAACTTGAATATTATCAATTTAAGTGGCTCAATTTTCATGTAACCCTTATGTGTCTGATTCTTATACTTATGAAAATATGTCCAGTAAAGCAAAATATTATCTGTCTACTAAAAGAAAAGATATTTCATTTTTTGTGATTTTATAGCATGGGATCTATGGGGAATCTCCCCGAGCTAGAAGTCACATTTTCAAAGAAAATTAATTTTTCAAAGTTGATAAACACTTTTTAAAACCACATTTCTAGATGTAATTTTACATGTAGATTTCAAATATGATATCACTTTGACTGAATTTTGAATTTTTAATGACATAAATCAAGATTATTTCTACTCGCATCTGGGTTATTAAGAAATGCGACTCAACTTGTATCTGCCAACATTATCTCATGAACATGTTATGCAAACATATACGTGTGACAAACACATTTACTCGTATGTCAAGATAAGAGAAACCTTGACATTCTGTTCATATAAAACATTATAGATTACCTATTTTAGGTGTCCACTGTAAATAATTTGTATTTTGATTTATTGTCATATGAATGAAATAAGAAATAAATAAAAATAAATAAAAATAGAAAATGACAAAAGCATGGTATAAATCAAGTACAATACAAAAATAAATCATGCTTATATTTCTTAAAGCATGTTTACTTTTTATTTTTTGTTGTTTTGTTAAAAAGAAACCGAAACACTTTTGTAGTAACGGGATTCGAACCGTGTATCGAGCACGCATTTTGACAAGAAAAAACCCGACTCTTACATTATATATTTTAGATAAGCTATCTATTGCTTGACTGATTCAAAACCCCATCCACGAACTCAAAACAATTAAGCGCCATGTTGGCAAGAGAACAAAGCAGCCACATGACAACTTCAAAATGTGAATAAGTTGATATTGTACTTGACAAAACATGGCAGGAAACGTAACAGTATATCTACAGTGTTAATGGCAATCCATATGGTGTCCACAGGGACACAGCTATGTTAATAGAATATGAGATATACTGTGTTTTAACAGTTCTTCAATTAATGTACGATGTAGGTATAAATGAATTAAAGATTGGCCTGATTGATCCCTCTTGTGTTGGTGGGTGACACTATATGCATTTGTTTCTACATATAGATATTCAAAAGCTCTTGCAATTTATAGGTAGATGTTGATCTCCAAAATCTCAAGAATGGGTTTGATTTTATTTGAAATCTATATTTATTCTTGGTAGCTCTATCAGTACAATAAACTGGTCTTCCTAGAATCCAGTGGTAATTCATAATTATTTACAATATATGAAATTGAAATTAACACGTAATACAAATAGTTATTAATATATAAGACCATCAACATATATAATAAGCATACATTTACATGAATATAAAAAACAATTAATTTAGAGAATTCACGTGAATAAAAAACGACTTATCAAAAATGTATTCCCATATATCTTTACTTTCTAATATGGTTATAGGCTTTTCTTAAAAAACATACTAAATTAGACTCTTTAATAGGTTTCTGATATTATTTATCTATTCTAGCAACAAACCATGTGACATATTGCATGTATTTCAAAAGTGTCAATAAAATGGATACATCATTATTAGTAGTGTATGTTAAGGAGGCACGGGATTACTTTGCGGTGTCTAAAAATGCGATGCCAGGAATGAGATACTGAGACTACTTTGCGGTGCCTAAAGTGAGATACCAGGAATGAGATGCCAGGGGTTAATAACATTTTTACTAATGATGAGATGCTTGCTTTTGTAGTAACCATAGTGATAACCTGAGGTTTGTGGTAGCTTCAATTTGAGACGCATAACGTCCCAGTATATCATAAATATACTTGATTAAGAAAAAATATTCATAAATACTAGATCTCTTGAGGTTGAAACATGATTTCACAATTTTATATATACTTGAACAGCACTGATTCTATGGATACATATCCTTCTAACAATAATACCAAGTTCACAGTTAAATTACCCGAATATATTTCATTGAATCCTGATGAACAATGGCAGTGTGGATTGGTGGAATTGAGACATCCAACAGTATACGGGAGAATCGTAATGAATGTGATGTGCAATCTTTGTTACGGTACCATAGTTGGCGGTGAAAATATTCAGTTGTTAAGACAAGTACACGCTACCCAGGATGACATTTTCTACACTGGGAATTGTCAATCTTATAACCCTGTTCTTTATACACCCGTTATACCATCAGGATTCCAACACATATCTATCAGTATAAAAGAAGCAAAGGGTACCGAAGCTTTTTCATTTAACAACGATACGTTCTTTTGTGTGTTACACTTCAAAAAAGCGCATATTGTATAGACTTCAAGATGAGACTATCTAGTTACACACCAGATGATACTAAATGGGGGCACTTTTTCGCATCATCCGTGAACCGCAGTTTACCTATGAACTCTAAAAAATCTCAAAAGAACATTTCATTAAACGATAGCCGATATTCGATAAGAAACAACCAAGAAGGTGGGTCAACTATTAATTTAGTGAGCCCATCACAAGCTGTAGTGCAGAGAGCAAGTGCGGAATTGAAGAGAGGGAAAAGATCGAATACATTTAAAAGATCTCTGCAACCTCCAGGTAGACCAAATCGATTAATTGACAGCAAACGACGTAGACCTATTAAAAGAGCTCCGCAAAAGAAGAAAGCTGTGATAAAAAGAAAATCCAAAACAAACAATTTAAAGAAAAGATATAAAACTACCAGAGTCAGCGATATATTAACTAAGAAAAAACGAAATGGCGGAAAAGCTGGTAGGAAGTGATGAATCGTCATCCACAGAACTAATGCTTTTTAACACCCCATTAACTGATACAAGTATTTCTCGTTTTAAATGGGTGGAATATCGACCAACTTCGAGCCTCACCCATGGTAGTTGTGTGGAATTAAATGTACCAAACAATGGTATGGACTATTTGAGTTTAAAACGATCTCGCCTGCATGTCAAAGTAAAAATAGTTCAGGCTAATGGTGATACTATGAATTGGGATCCAAGTGACATACAGGGACCTAAAAAATGCGGTCCTATTAACTTGCTTTTACAAACATTATGGAATCGTATTGACATTCAAGTTCAACAAAAATCCATTACAGAGGCCACGCCTGATTTTGCGTACAAAGCTTATCTGCATGTACTACAAAACTTTTCTTCAGCAGATAAAAAGTCATGGATGCAAGCGCAGGGCTATAGAAAAGATGACATGTTTCCCGCTACAAATAATGTTTGGACAGGAGGAAACCAAGGACTATTAATGCGATATATGGATTATAGAAACAGCCGAGAAGTAGAACTAACTGGACCGATATATGAAAGTTTTCTTCAATCGGATCGACTGCTTCTCAATGGAGTTGAAGTCAAAATAAAATTATGGCCAAATAGCAGTGAATTTTGTTTAGTTTCCGATGATCCACAAAAATGGCGGTTAATTGTAACAGATGCTTACTTCGAGGCTTGCATGGTAGAAGTTAATCCCGCCGTTATTAAAGCACACAACGAAGTGATGCTTCGAACGCCTGCTATATATCCTTACCAGGATGTGGAAGTCAAAGTGAAAAGCCTAGCATCAGGCAACTTTAACTTTTCTTGGGATAACATATTTCAAGGACGCATACCCTCTTGCCTCACTGCTTTTTTCGTATCAGCCCGCGCCTATGCTGGTACATATGACACAAATCCGCTGTACATGGATCACTTCAACCTATCCAGTCTAACAACTCAGGTGGATTCTCAAGATGTACCTTCGAAACCACTCACATTAAAATTTTCCAGCGATCTAATTGAGAGTGAACAATATCTGTCGGCATATTTGAGACTGTTTGAAACATCATTACCAAATCACGACAACAATACTGATATCGAGGCGGACGATTTCAAATCAGGATTTTCGATATTTCGTTTCCAGTTGAATGCGGCAGACGAAAATAAAACTGTGTTCCCGTTACTTAAAGGAGGGCAACTGAAACTTGAAGGACGCTTTGAGACTGCCCTACAAGAACCGGTGTGCGTGATCGTTTTAGGAACATTCCATCGAATACTGGAGATTGACCGCTTTCGCGGTGTTACAGTTACATAATGAATACGTATCAATTGGAGGGAATCATGAATTCGGACGCTTGTCTGCGCTTAAAAACCCACGGTGTATACGCACTGGATGAGCTACCTACAAAAGTTACGAAAAGACCATCCTATTTCATTGTTAACACACAGGATAGTTCGATGGTTGGAGAGCATTGGTGTGCATTTGCGTTTTATGATAACGCACCAGCAGAGTTTTATGATTCCATGGGACATTCGCCTGACTATTATAATTCTATATTTCAAGATATTCTTGTGAACAATAGTACGCATTTTTTATACAACAACACTAGAATTCAAGGACTAGACACAACGTGTGGTCATCACTGTGTATACTATTTAAATAAACGATGTAGGAAAACTAGCATGAGATGTATTGTCAATTCATTTTCAAAGCACAATCTTAGAGAAAATGATGAGTTTGTCAAGTATTTTCTAAAAGTGAAGTACAATGATATTATGCTCACCCTCCCATCAACAATTTTATAATTGTACTTTTAATTTTAATAAATATAAACACAAAACAATTATTCTGTTCACTTGTTGAAGTTACAACCTTACGATGACGAAGGCTATTAAAAAGACTAGAAGTACTAAGAAAAAGGTATTATCAAGTTCCATGAAAAGAGCTCTGAAATCGGCCTATTACACGTTAGGTAGACCCGGCTCGTTTTCGAGTCCAATTCGTCTGTGGAGACAAGTTAGGTCATTGGGTATCACTCAAGCTCAAGTCAAGAGCTGGATTAACAATCAAGAGTCTTATGCATTGTTCAGAAAACCTAAGAAAATTAAGAATCGTCGCAAAATTATCGTTTCATCCATGTATCAAATGTACGATATGGATCTAGCTGATTTGAAAACATATTCAAAGTATAATTCAAAGATAAGCTATTTGTTAGTGATTGTTAGCGCGCTTTCCCGTTACATGTGGGTGCATCCCTTAACATCGAAAAGAGGTGGAGAGGTTGTCAAGGCACTTGAAGCGTTAAAAAAGGATATGCCTACTCCGCTACAGATAAGAAGTGATCAGGTATGATAGTTCACTGTTGGTGTACATATAGATCTGGCGAGAGAAAATAGAATTACTATATTAAAGCAACTCATCTTGCAATTGTATTAAATATTCTACAATATTTTAACCTAGATGATGATTCTGTTTCAGGGTGGAGAATTTGTGAATAAATCTGTCAAGGATTACTTGAAACGTGAAAAAATTGATCATATCTTAGCGTTTGGGAACATGAAGGCATCGATTGCGGAAAACGGAATTAAACGATTGAAGGAACGATTGGTGCGTTACATGTACGCTAACAACACCTTCAAGTATCTAAGCAGTCTTCCAGATATTGTAAAGTCCATCAACTCCTCATACATGGAATCAATTGGCATGGCTCCTTCTCAGGTGAACATATCCAATCAAGATAAAGTTTGGTATAAACTCTATTACGACTCATACACCAAACAACCTTTGGAATTTAAACCAAAATTTAAGGAAAATCAAACTGTGCGAATTTCATTGGAAAAGAGTGCTGATTATACTCCAGGCTACCTGATGTCCTGGAGTCAAGAGTTATTCATAATAACCTCAGTAAATCGGACTGAACCGCCAACCTATGGGTTGACAGATCTTAATGGTGAAATAATCAAAGGAGCCTTTTACGAATCGCAGCTGCTTGCTGCAAACGTTGAGAGGAATCAACTTTTTAGAATAGAAAAGATATTGCGTAGGAGACGATTCAAGGGACGCAAGCAAGTGCTTGTACGTTGGCTTAATTATTCGAGTAAATTTGATAGTTGGTTAAACGAAAGCCAATTGAAAGATTTCGAATGAAAACAAATGGCAGTACAACAATGACCAATTAATAAGAAATCATCACAGCATACAATATCATCCTCTACTACTCATTCCCTCCTCCTCTCCTCATTCCCTCCCATCCTCTCATTCTCTCCTCCTCATTCCCTCCTCATCCTCCTCACCACTCCTCCTCCTAAATCCCTCATCCTCCTCCCCATTCCCATTCCCTCCCCAACCTCATTCCCTCATGCTCTTCCCCTCCCTCATTCTCTCATTTTCCTCATTCCCCCCTCCCCCTCCTCACTCCCTCCTCATCATCCTCATTCCCTCTTCCACCTCACTCCATTCTTTTCCCCCTCCTCTCATTCTCTCATCCTTGTTTCCTTTACTCCTCATTCCCTTCTCCTCCTCATTCCCTTCTCCTCCTCATCTACTCCTCTCCTTCTCATTCCCTTCTCTTCCTAATCTCACCTACATCGAATAATCGTGTTATGTCTCTGTACTAGGCTACTAAAAAGTAGATTCAGATATAAGTACATTAGTGATTAGTTGACATCTTCATTTAAACAAAACTCTTAAAAGACAAACACCATGTTTAGCTGTAGAGAATGTTCGAAGCAGTTTTCTCGCAAAGACAATACGATTCGTCACATGAAGATTGTACATGGCTGTAAGCTAACTAAAAACGATCATATATCTAAAGGACAGTATGGAATGGGATCTTATTCTTCGACAAATCAGGTTATGATGTCAACAGGAGATATTTCAAAGGTGCTCTACCATCCATTCACAATGATGGTGGTTGGCCCGACAGGTTCAGGGAAATCTACATATGTAAAGGAACTGATTGAGCATGCTGGTACTAGAATATCTCCAACACCACAAAGAATCATATGGTGTTACAGTCAATGGCAACCTCTATATGATGACATCAAGACAATCAGCTCAAATATTGAATTTATGATGGGGATACCAGACGAGCTGAGTAACCCAGAGTTTTTGGATGTGAATCAGAGGAACATACTGATCTTTGACGACTTAATGGGTGACATAACAAAGGATACAAGGATTACTGATTTGTACACGCGTGGATCACATCACAGAAATCTAAGTGTGATTTGCTTGATGCAGAATCTGTTTCCATGTGGAAGAGAAAGTCGCACTCTCAGTTTGAATTCCCACTACATTGTGCTGTATAAGAATCCTAGGGATCGTCAACAAGTATCTGTTTTGGCCCATCAGATGTACCCTGGAAAGTCTCACAAGTTATTGGATTCATATGAGAAGGCTACACACCAACCTTACAGCTACCTGTTAGTAGACCTCAAGCAAGAAACTCCTGAGAGTATGAGATTGTATAATCCTACCACAACTACAAATATAATGCTGCAAAAGCCATTAGCAAAACAAAATCAGGATGAATCAAATCAATCGCAACAGCGTGAAAGTAATGCAAATGTACTTCACCATGAGCTACCAGAAACACCTCAAACGCATGAAAAGGATACAAGAATGCATGATATAAAAACTGGACCTTCTCCTTGTTTGTCTCCTCATTTAATCTCTAGCGGATGTAACAATATGGTATCATGTGATAACTGTGGTTTAGTCTTTGACAGCGTACACGATTTGCAAGGTCACATCAGGAATTGGTGCCAAGAGCAAGGTCAACTGCCCAAGAAAATGAAGATTGAAACCACCTCACAAATAGGACAAGATTCTTCCCGTGAAGAAGATGCTGATCTTACATTAAATGAAATATTTGTATATTTAAAAAACAAGGCTAGAAGTGATAATGAAAAAGATTATAATCATAAAGTAAAGGAGTATATGGATAGGGGAAACAATGAAAAGGAAGCTATGGAAAAGGCTGAGAAGAAACTTGTACGAAATGATAAGGAAAGATTTATGAAGCACTATAAGAAGGTCTTAAAACAAGTTTTCGGTTTAGCAGACAATGCATTACACAGAAATATTGTAAATGCAGTGAATGATATGTTGATGAGAGGTGTCTCTAGAGATCTTGCAATCAAAAAGGCACTTGTGAATAATGAACATAAGTTTAATGAGCTATTCATAGAAGATACAGATGATGATGAAAGCAATTCTGAAGCAAAATCTACTGATGATGAAGAGCAATCTTATAATAATGATGAAAGCAATTCTGATGAAGAATCTACTGATGAAGAGCAATCTTATAATAATGATGAAAGCAATTCTGATGAAGAATCTACTGATGAAGAGCAATCTTATTATAATGATGAAAGCAATTCCGAAAGTAATAGTACTGATATGACCAGCATTTAACATGTAAAGAAACTTATGACATAAATATAAGAGTAAATGTACATTATAAAACAAAGTGTTATGTCATTGTTTTGTTATTTATGTTACAAAAGAAACCTCGTGCTTCAAAAAAATGTGATCACCATCACTCTACGAAAACACAGAGATCATAATATGTGCATCCTTTCTTATTCAATTCATTTCTTATCCATCTAAGATGAAAGTCTCACCTATGCATCGTTTCTTATTGAGTAGTAAAATAAACAAATTATTCTATGTTGTATCAAGGAACAACTTTTATTAATTTCCAAACTACACGATTCTCATATATGAGAGTATGTGTACAATATGTTGTAATTATATTTAAAATACAATTGTGTAGGTAGAACTTATCAAACAGATGTAAATATTATAGAACAGTTTAATTTAACGTTGTATTGATATTATATTGCAACTAGACAACAGCAACGCCAAAACGTAGCGAATCCCATCGAACAGCCATGGCTGCCATTTTTACAAAATCCTTCTACTACTTTTTCAGTTATAGCAAGAATCGTACATAAACACACATAAAAATGGCTACCATTTTCAAAATGCTCGCTAAGTTGCCAAATTGTCAAAAGGACAATTGCTTCTAGAAAGGCACATATAAAATTTCAACAAAATCGCACGCATGTACATGTAAATGGCAGCCATTTTGAAAAATTGCCTCCTATTAGCCGAAGTGTCATAAGATATTGTGCCATGCTTATGAGTATTCACATATCAAATATGAACAAAATCGCTCCACTACTTTTCAGTTAAAGTAAAAACGTAAAATAACACACGTAAAAATGGCAGCCATTTCTCAAAATGACCGCTTACTACCCAAAATGTCATGAGACAGTGTGCCAGGCTCATGAGTATTCACATATCAAATATGAACAAAATTGCTCTATTACTTTTCGTGTTATAGTAAAAAACTTAAAATAAAACACGTAAAAATGGTGGCCAAAAACCCAAAAACCAAAGTGTCAATAGACAGGGTGCCATGCAATATAGTATTCGCATATCAAATATGAACAAAATCGCTCCACTACTTTTCAAGTTATGGGGAAAAAACGTAAAATAACACACGTAAAATGGCCACCTACTACCCAAAGTATCATTAGACAGTGTGCCATGCTTATGAGTATTCAAATATCAAATATGAACACAATCGCTCCACTACTTTTCAAGTTACAGCAAAAATCGTAAATAGCGTGTAAGGGCCGCCATTTTACAAGTTGGCTGCCGTGTGTTTCTTAAATATCTACATTTCTAGCTTTATTATGTCCTTTATAACTTCTTTACATTTAAAACACATTGCTATTACAGTTTTATATATTGTACCTAAATTACTGTAAAATCGGCATTGAAATGGCCGCCATTTTGAAACGAGTGGCCATTTTGAAAATCGGCTTTCGAGTAGAACTTCTATCGCCATAGGGCATATTTGTACAAAATATGAACAAAATCGGGCCAACAGTATTTGAGTTATCACCCGGACGGACGGACAGACGGACGGACTGACGTATGGAAGGATGGACGGACGGACGTACGGACGGACGGACGGACGGAGGCGTTCCCTATATCCCTCCGAACTTCGTTCGATGGGATAATAATTGAATCATTTATTAAAAATTGAATACAAAATAACAATAGACAGAGAAATGTTTTGTGTGATTTCCCATTGATGTAATTATGTTGCCTGCAATGAATGCTTTAGCTAGTACAACACAATTTAAAGATAAAAAGTGTATCTAATTGTCAAGCAGGTTATCACATGGAGAGAGATATTGGTACACGTTACAAGCCCACATACCCTCCTGGTTCATATGATCACCATGTAACGTGGCTATACAATTCATGTCCTCTATAGCTAAGGGAGGAATAAGACTGTGTATGTTTTTCAATACATCCTCCATCTCCTCGAAATTGAGGTACACTGACCAAAGTTGGGTAAATTTTTGTTTTACCCGGTCGTGGTAAGTCGATGTTACTTCGAAAAGGTTTATATCAGAATGCACTTTGAACTCGTATCCCAGTCCTAGGTGATGCTGTGCATTCAAAGGTGTAGCCAGTGCCTGGTTTGGAACGGCCAAATCATCTTGAATGGCACGCATATACTCCCGAATTCCTCTTTCTGTGCAGCAGGTGATCATGTAGTCAAACTCCTGTCGAGGTAGTCGTGAAAACTTCGAGCTGTAAGGCATACAGCCTACCCGCTTCACCTTGTTCACAACGATAAGTTTAAGTTTAAATGTTCGAATTACAACGTGATCTCCCTGCGTGTATATGAATATTTCCTGCAAGCAGGACCCGTTCGAAATCTTGAGCATTTGTGGCCATTCAGGTTGAATCGGATTGACGATACATCCAGATGGACGCGCTGCATCTTCCAAAGTCAGATGAAAATGAACCACCCCATCTAGCGTCATGGGATGAGGGGGTATATTAAGCTTCAAGTCTCTCCGACAGCTAGGTTGAGCAGGTATACCTAGTGTCAACTCTCTCTGAAAGCTAACCATGCGTTTCTTGAATGGTGGTGGTGGTGGTGTTGATCTTATGTTTTTTTGTGTCGCTATTCGGCGTTAGTTCGGGAGAGGCACTCACCGAATTAACATCCTCAATGATGATGCATTTTGTCGTTGCATTCCACACTGTTTCAATTATTGCTGGAGATGACATTTTGTACTGCAATTGTTGAACATTACAAATTAGTAAAGTTCAGAGTCTATATATGAGACTTATCAAGATGTGATGCAACATGTGTTGTCATCCCTCAGATGGATGGTTTCTTTATATCTTATCAAAGTGTGATAATGTTAGCTCACCAACCCTCAGTAGTTATCATATTTTAGGAATCGCAAAGCAACTCAATGTCATTACAGTTAAGAATTTTCCCAACCAGCCAAAAGTTAAGTTCCACAAAGGTATCTCGAAGTCTAAAGCTTTGAAAAGCTCAGTTTTAAGGTGGCACAAAGGTGTTTCACAAAGTATTTCATGAACACAAGCTGAATGTTCATGGATGCATAGTGCATCTCAATGAAGCAACAACTTGAGGTCTTGCAAGGATGATTATGTAATGATTGATAATGTACTTACCCTTCCAATGTCTTATCGTATTTGATATAATACAAAGATATCTTGAAAGTACCTAAATTTTAAGATATCACCGAAAAGTCTCTCAAACCAACTCAGTTTTTAAGGTTTCATTTCAATAATTGTATGAGTTCTTAATATGTCGTCGCAGTTTTAAGACTCCCTGACTTATCCCTGCTTTAAGGTTTCACAAAGGTATCTCAGAGATATCTCAATGTTAAGACTCTCTACAAAGCATTTCAATTAAATAAGGATACCGTTATGCATCTCAAATTGAAGCTACCACAAACCTCAGGTTATCACTATGGTTACTACAAAAGCAAGCATCTCATCATTAGTAAAAATGTTATTAACCCCTGGCATCTCATTCCTGGTATCTCACTTTAGGCACCGCAAAGTAGTCTCAGTATCTCATTCCTGGCATCGCATTTTTAGACACCGCAAAGTAATCCCGTGCCTCCTTAACATACACTACTATTATTAAATTACATTAAAATTGCTATAAACATATGGTTCTCAGCAGATACCAATGGACAAGTCAGATAATTCGCAGGTTTAGAATTTCAAAGTTTCAAAGGATAAATACAACATGACTGGCGCTCAATAAAACTGCGACAGTTTTTTCTTAATTGAATATCTTTATGGAGAATCCGTTACTTTTTCAAAAGATATCTTACGATCATCACGTCTATATCAAAACCTATTGAAAGAATCAGTCAATTTTATCACAAAAAAATGTTTTTCATTTACATGTAAAAAGGTGTGAATTTCTAAATTGCAGAGGGTACAGTATCATTCTGTTTTTCAACTAGAAATGAAATACAGTATACAATTGTTCGACCTCGACTGTAAACCTTGAAACTACTGTTGACCTCGACCTTCGGTCTCTGTCAACAGTAGTTTCTCGGTTTACAGTCTCGGTATACAATTTTGCCGGTTGACCGAATGGAGAGGTCTACAATTGTTTTGTTAGTCCCAAGAAACTAATAATACACATATAGACGACAATCATCAATCGGCATGGCTTCATTTTACAATCTTTTCTCCGAACCACGCCAGCAATGCGTACTCATTAGTAAATTAATGTTAATTTTACGTTTCTGTTTGTATTTTTGCTATACTTGTCGTCTAGTAAAGTCAAAATATCACTTTCATCAACGTTTACAAAATGATGTCATGAAACTTATTTTTCAAAAGTAGCGGTCAACAGTACCTAGTAGCGGTCAACAGTACATATTATTGACCGCTAATCAACCAATCAGAATCGAGTATTTCAGTTGAGGTACTAACAATAAAACCTGTCGAATCCGAATGCCACTGGGACTGGCGAAAAGTGTTCAGATTAGGTGTCCGGATTAGAGAGGTGTTTAGACATAGAGGTTTCATTGTAATAGAAGGCCGTGATTTCTCATGATGGGTATCACTGACGTGCAGCCCCCTCCCTTTGGCTGGGCCCAGAAAAAAAAGTAGGGCCCCTAAAGTTTTTGGGCCAAAAAGTTTTGAAGCGCCTCAAAAATGGGCGTTCTTGGGCATTTTAAAGGCCATTTTTTAAAAAATAGGCATTATATTTTTTCCTTACTTCATATCTGCCCCTTTGATAGGCTTTGGATCCGTTCGAAAGTAAATTGTGAGAAAGTTGGTTAAAATGCCATTATTAGGTATAATTTGTTGAATGTGATATCAAGATATTTATAATTCTGAACACTCGACAAATCATTCATTGCTCCTTGGCTTTAGCAGGTAACAATATTTTGCAGGTATACCACTGCCTTAAGGTACTGTAAAATGAAAACAAATTCAAATATATTTAGTTCTTTAATTCAAAAACCGAAAGCAATCATTATGACTTATTGATCAAAGAACGCATCTAATCGTTAAATTATCTGTTTCCGAATCCAGGTACCTTAATGTTACTCAGATTCATATCAAAAGAAACAAACTACTATATTGTGTTTCACTTCTATTCAAATGGCATTTACAGCATTATTTATCAGTGTTAGAACTTTCTAACGGTTGATCAACTTTCAAAGGTTGAAAGAGAATGTTTTAGATTATTTGGAAAGACAAATCTATTGAAAAACAATTAGTGTTCACACCCATGTAAAATGCCTTGAATTGAAATGTATTTCGTGACATTTTGCTGTTCTTCTTTGGGAAATTTGAAAGATTATAGCTTGTTTGATCTAATGGTCTTTTCAAAAGGACATGTTTATATAAATCAAAGAGTTGTTGAAAAAACATAAACATGAAAGATTGAGCTGTAAGTGGATTTTATCTCAAAAAGAATAATAATTTTAAAAAGTAATAGCTCACCTTAAGACATGTACGTGTAAAAGATAAACTACTTTGATATATCACAAAATAATCTTATTAAAATATGGTTTTCAATAGGCTTTTAAAATCCCAGGGTGTTTTGCTTATAATAATTTAGTTTACTGATTATATGGTTATAAAGTTGCTACTGAGTGATTTATCAATTTTTTTTAATGTCAACACATATACATCAATAAATCAATGTATTTTAACGAGGTTTTATCAACCTATACGACTGTAACATCAATCAATTAAATCAATATCAACCAATTAACTCAATGCCAATTAATATCAATCAATTAACGCAATGTCAATCTATACCAATTAATAGAATCGATCATCCCATGAATGCCAATCAATGGATGAAATATGCGTATAGCAAAGCCTATATAATGTCAGACAAGTCAATATCAACATAGACAGACTAGAGAGCCATCCTTGGTCCAAAGGCATTGAAATTCTTCCCCTAAGCTCAGCGAGGCCCGATCTTAAAGGATAAGACAAAGCCCTAGATAGACGTTTTGATCTCTCTCCCTGGTTTGTACAGATGACTGCATTGGGGCATCTGAGGGAGGGGGATGGGCCCAGATTTTTTATTCAAACTTGGGATATGCCCCCTCTCCCTTTTTGGATTCTAGATCCGCCCCTGGCATGCATAGCCATTTCTTTTCTACTTCACCAGGGAAACTGTGGTGCAATGAGGCATGGAGGCTGGGAGATGTCTGGAAAAGTGTAAGTTCTGAGGTCCAATTAGTATCACTTGATGAAGTTCTAAGTACAAATTGATGTATCTGTAATTTTCCAAATATCCTGAAAATGTTTATTTATTTTCACGTCTAACTCTCAGTAAGATTTTGGCAATTAACATCTGCCGGAGCTATATCTTTAAATTAACTGCTATACTTTCAGAAGCACCTAACACAAATAATGCCTGCAAGATTTTGTAAGGATAATGCGGTTTCTTGCCTCTGAATTTGTTCTGATTTGAGATGACATTATTTTGGAAACACAGCTCTGTATGAGAGTGGTGTTTGGGCAACAATTAAGGAAAATGACATGGCCGACGAACACTGATTGGTGCGGTGAGTTCACATGTTTATTTTAGTTTGAAAGAGTGAAGACGAAGCTCTCTTTTAAGAAGTGAAGTCAAACGAATGCAAAGGGTATCTATTAATACGTTGAATTATGAATTTGTTATTTTTCTATTTTTCCCCTTGGTTCATTATCATCAATTATGTAGAAAGAAGTATACATACATATATTACCCTCATAATTATAATCCATGCACATATATACACATAATTAACATACAAATTGGAGTATGATTCTACGTCCATTTAATACATTTAAACCTCTTATACCTCCAATCCTCACTAATATGCACCAATAAGGATGCTTAATACACAGAATTGATGACAATTTGACGTATGATTCCACATCTATTCTACTGAGAATTACAGATCTGAATCATGACAAACCTGTTTTATATGTCTCTGAACAAACGCATCATTGCTTATACCTCCAATCCTCACTAATCCAGTATAGGTGTTATTCCAATCATTCAAATATTTACATAACCATTAGGAACTTTCATCTAAGAATTTATTACTGTTTAACTTAACTTTTCCCTTTGAATGTCATAAATCATCTATAGGATCGATACCCCAGGCAGTGATGGTATTTTCTTAATTATACCACAAAAAAAATGATTAAAACAGATATCGTAATTAAGGGGAAATAACAAATTATCTGCCACATTAGCATAAACATTACAATGATGACACGTAATAGATAAAAACAGTAATTTTCTCAAATCGTTTTTAGTTCCTTAATTGGTACAGTTTTCTGGTAATTTATTTTTTGCGTCACATAATATTCCGTAATATTCCTATTAACGTATACTTAATTGATGTACTTTATTCAGAAAAATGAATAAGGTGTCAAATATTTTTGAAATTATCAAAAAGAATGCCATTCTTACAGTAAAAAAGGAAACGCTGGGATTAAGCACTTTAATTTCATGGCCATTAATGCAGCTTACAAAAGTGGTGTAAGCCTCTCAATCTATTAAATTGATAATTATACAACGGAATAACTCATTTAGGATTATAATGCAGATTAAATAGGTTTAAACAATATTATATAAGACTTTTATATGTATATTTACCACATCGATCTTCATTAGGTTTTTTATCAAGATTACTCAATGCCCTTGTTAATTGCTAGGCGATCCATTTGAGATTAATGGGAATCACTTTTTAATCAATTTTAGTTTAATTTATTCACAACAT